GATTGGGTTATCTACCGATCGTGATATGGCCACGGATTTATATGTAATATAAATCCGTGATATGGCATAGCACATCGCAATTCAAAAATCAAATTATAAGATAATGTTTTGTTAAATCAATCAAAAAATAACTAGAAACTAACTCTGACTACATTATATTATCAGTTTTTTACTTTAAAAGTACAATGTAACAATTTATAGATTTGCAATAAAATTAGAAATTTTCGTTTACGGTGTCAAGGTAAAAATCTATTGCTCATATTTGAAAATAGGTCCGAGTTTCATTAGCTTTTTTTAAATTTATGCATTGTTTAATTGATTTTACAGAGAAAAGATGTTATTAAATTGTACCATGTAAAAATATTATAATATTTCACGATGTTATTTGCAAATATTTGATGTTTAATTTGGTGCATTTTCAAAATGGCGCCGATTATCGGCAAATATTCTGAACAAACAATCTATGTGTTTTTTTTTAACAAAGATGGCTTTAAAAAACATCATTTCCTGAAATATTTATTCTTTTTTCAAAAGTTTAAAGATTTTTAAATAACATCATGTCGTTAAAATTTTCATTTTTGCTCTTGTATTCAATACTCGCCCTTTTCTTGAACACTTCACATAATTTGTTTATAGCAAATAATACAGATTTATACCGAGACAGGTTTAATTGTAGCGAAAAGGGTTTACATAGCATGTTTCCAGACCATTCTATTTGAAAGACCCTGCTGGTAGCTGTAATGAACTACATAACCGGTTGCTATCATGAAATACATAACCGGTAGTTATAATGAAATACATAACTGGTAGCTGTAATGAAATACATAACCGGTAGCTGTAATGAAATACATAACCGCAAGTTATAATGAACTACATAACTGGTAGCTGTAATGAAATACATAACCGCAAGTTATAATGAACTACATAACTGGTAGCTGTAATGAAATACATAACCGGTTGCTATCATGAAATACATAACAGGTAGATATAATAAAATACATAACCGCTAGTTATAATGAAATACATAACCGCTAGTTATAATGAAATACATAACCAGTAGTTATAATGAACTACATAACCAGTAGCTATCATGAAATACATAACTGGTAGCTATAATGAAATACATAACTGGTGGCTGTAATGAAATACATAACCAGTAGCTATAATGAAATACATAACCAGTAGCTATAATGAAATACATAACCAGTAGCTATAATGAAATACATAACTGGTAGCTATAATGAAATACATAACCAGTAGCTATAATGAAATACATAACCAGTAGCTATAATGAAATACATAACCAGTAGCTATAATGAAATACATAACTGGTAGCTATAATAAAATACATAACTGGTAGCTGTAATGAAAAACATAACCAGTAGCTATAATGAAATACATAACCGGTAGCTATAATAAAATACATAACTGGTAGCTGTAATGAAAAACATAACCAGTAGCTATAATGAAATACATAACCGGTAGCTATAATGAAATACATAACTGGTAGCTGTAATGAAAAACATAACCAGTAGCTATAATGAAATACATAACCGGTAGCTGTAATGAAATACATAACCGCTAGTTATAATGAAATACATAACTGGTTGCTATAATGGAATACATAACTGGTAGCTATAATGAAATACATAACAAATACCTGCAGTGGAATACATTTCCGGTAGCTGTAATGAAATACATAACAAAAAGCTGCAATGAAATACTTTGAACTGGTTGCTATAATGGAAAACATAACTGGTAGTTAAAATGGAATGCATAACCAGTAGCTATAATGGAATACATAACTGGTACCTATAATAATGGAATACAAAACCAGTAGCTTTAATTGAAAACATAACCGATAGATATTATTTAATACATAACCAGTAGCTATTGTAAATTTTATACCAGTACATAACCTGTAGGTAGCTATACACTCATTCTCACTTAAGTATGACATTTTATAAATTCTAGAACTGAAAATGAACTTTCTTGTTTATAAAAATTTTATTACATTTCAAAATTTAAAGTATCGCGACAATTCTTAAATGTCAAATATTACTAGTACAGATGTCCTAGATTTTTCACTACGACAGGTTTTCTAGATAGAACCAGAAAATGAATTTTGACATTTTCAAGACAATATAGTCTTTAAATTTGTGCATTTGGTATGGCGATTGTATTTGGTCTCTTAGAATAAACTTTCTATTACAAATGTATTTTACTATTATGAACATCTTGGAATGAAAATCAATTATTGAACTTACACAAACTAAATATGTATATCTTTTGAAAACAACACGTGAAAATGCATTTCATACCGAATATGCATAAATCTTATTTTCAAAATAAAAAACCTTATAAAATCCACAGATCTCATACTTATACTTTAGTGTTGCATAGGTGTCAGAGTTGGTTGGGATATTTGTCTTATATTTACAAGGAACATACTTAAGGTGGTCCTTTATTTTTTGGATGGAGTATGGGTCACTGGATTCTAGGACAATTTCTGGCATTTATTATTTAAATATATAAATATTTGATAAAATTTACAAACCTTATTACAAGAAGGGAAACTGATACTGAACAGCATCCATGGATCCTGATCAGAATGCGTTGATGTGCAGTATGGGCCTGATCCTTGCTGGTCGCAAATGCACTAGGTTGGTTTTGTCATGGTATGGCTCAAATTCTATATATATTTGATAAAGTTTTATTGGGCATTATGTTATCAGTGTTTAGACATTTGTATTTAACAAACACTTTCTTGTTCCATGATGGAATTTCCTTTACTCACAAAGATTTGCAAATTTAAAATAGTTCAATTCTAGCTCTTTGTATAATACATGATGTGTATTGAATAATTATGAAACTGCACACTAACGTACCTTTCTTTCTTGGTATTTTCATATAGCCGATTTTCTTATTCTTTTTTAAAACCTTTTATATGCCAAATGTGATAGGTGCTTTATAGTTTTATGCCAGGACTACTAAAATATGTTTTGTGCGCAGTTAAACTTTCTTTCAATGTAGTTGTACATGTAATATATTATTGCATAGGTTAAATATCTCTTTGTCTTATGTTTTATTTTTCTAGCAAACAATTACGAATGCCAATCTGTTTGTTATTTACTGAATTAACTTCTTTGTTTCTGTTGATTTTTTCGCAAATTAGTAGAGTTTAGTTGATATCTGGTATTTTGTGTGGAAATCAAATGCTTCTTTGCTTACATTTTGCTACTTTATTGATTTTTATTTCACATTCATTTCATTTTTTTTTCAAATAATAAGCATTTAAGAAGCATTTATATAAACGTTTTATTAAGCCCATTTTTGTCCTTTGTAAAGAAAAACTAGAAATGTGTCCATAGGACACGGGTGCCCCCACCCCGCCACTGTTCTATCACTCTTATGACTCTAGGTCAAATATTTTTTGAAAACTAAAAATCTTTTACTAAGTAAAGGGCAAGAACTTTACAAATACTGAATAAATCCACAAGCAAACCCCAAAGTGCATAAGTACACATGCTGACCAACATTCTTGTAAACTTTCAGGCCTACAAGTGAAATACTTTTTGAGCTATGCATGAACAAGTTGAAAATTGCAAATTTATACCACTGTAAGTCAAGGGCAATAACTCTTACAAAACTGAAAAAAAAATCCACATGCAAAGTCCCAGGTTAATAGCTTCACAGTGATGTGAATAATTATTCCTGTAAATAAGTGATGTTGATCATTATTTCTGTAAAGTTGGTTGATTCTAATTCAATCACTCAAGGAACAAATAACAACATAATGAAACGGTTTTTACTAAGTCAAGGGAAATAACTCTACAAATACCTGATAAATCCACAAGCGAAACCCCAGGTGCAAAACTAAATATATGCTGAGCAACCTCCCCGGAAGGTTTAATGACTCTATTTCAAATCCTTTTTGAGTTACATGCGACACAAGTTGAAAATTTCAAACAATTTCTAAGTCAAGGGCAATTACTCTAAAAATACTAAAAAGATCCAGACGAAAATACACAGGTGCACAACTACATGCTGATCAACATTCCTGTAAAGTTTCATGACTCTAGGTCAAATACTTTTTGAGTTACATGCGACACAAATTGAAAATTGCAAAAGTTTACTAAGTTAAGGGCAATAACTCTAAAATTACTAAAAATATTCAGACGAAAATACCCAGGCACCGTGTTCACAAAGATTTAAGGATCAGTATCAAATTTAAAAACTCAAATATTCTCCATTATTTATCCTCATACATTAAATATTCAATGTTACCTTGATAAAACTGCACTTTAAATAGCATGTTTATGAAATTTTAGAATAAATTTATTGTTATTTTTACAAGATATGGGCATTTTACAGTTGATCCAAATTTGATCTTGATCCTAAAATTGATCCTCATTTTCATCAAATTATTTTTGTATTTGTTTTGTTTTTTGTTGATTTTATCCCAAAATAGGTTGGTTTCTTTGCAGATAGGCAATTATTTAAATTTCGAATATGTACCATTAAATTCTAGCTTAATACAATCAGTTTTAGTTTCATAAAAGAATGGAAATAAAATCAGGATCATCTGATCCTTATCCTGATCTTTTCTTTGTGAACACGGGGCCAGGTGCACAACTTCACATGCTGATCAACATTCCTGTAAAGTTTCATGACTCTAGGTCAAATACTTTTTGAGTTACGTGCGACACAAAAGAGAACGGATGGACAGACGGACAAGGGTAAATCTAAATGCCCGCCACTAAAGTGGGGGCACAAAAATAATATTTGTTTTTAGGCATAATGAGCCTTTAAGTTTTATTTAATTTAAAAGAAAGAAAGCGCATGAAATTAGGCAACTAGTAATGAAGAATTAAACAACCCCAGTATAGATACAAAAATGTGTTAAAATTTTACATTTATTTCAATCATAAACATTATCTCATTTACACAACATACCATTCAAAGAATATATAAATTTTGTATTAAATCATAATGCAAGAATATAATGTTTATGATAAATCAATTTCAGTTTTCACAAAATAATTAATGTATTCTCACAATGAATTAAACTTTGAGTAGCATTACATATTGAACATATTTATATACTTCTCATATTCAATTTATTTATTCTTTTGACATTTATTTTCGAATATTGAATTTTACATATGAATCAGGATGTTCTTTAAAAATTTTATTCAGATATCATACACTTCAATTTCATCTGCCGGTCTTCCTATATATATCTTAGTCATTTGTTGATTACAACAGACTGACTTAATTCCCCGCTTTCTTTTATCAGCTTTTATAACCTCTCCTATCAGCTCACCCTCATATGTAAACTGTAAAACATTATTGGAGAGATATCCAGATACCAGCACATTTCCTGCTTCAGTGAGGTAACAACAGTTCGACCCCTGTAATTGTCCATCATTAAATGATGTAATAACCTGACCATTGTTGTCCAGTACTATCAGTCCATTACAATAGTCAGCAACATAAATCCTTGTAGCATCCTGACTAACAGCTATTCTGCATATGTCAGAGAATAGTTTATGTCCTGATTGATCCTTACTGAACTGTTTAAGTTTCCTACCAGACAATGTATACATATATACTGATGTGTCATCTGAAATATATAAATTCTTGTTTGCATATGCAAGTCCATAACATTTAAAATCAGTTTTAATCTTGTTTGTTGTTTTCATTTGTCTTTCTAGAGAAATGAAATGAACTTCCTTTTTTGATGGTACAGTTACTGCCACTTGTGTGTTATTTATCATACATACTTGATGTGGCTCTGAAGGTAGATCACAATCGTCAGTTACAGTATAGTTGTAACTGTGTAACCGTTTAAGCTTGTTGTTGTTGTAATCAGCTAGAATTATTGTACCATCTTCCATACAGCTGACACTGTGGATATTACAAATTATTTTATCAGACTTAACTTGTACATTATATGATTGATTTCCTTTAATCTGAAATAAAGTGACAGCAGTCTTTGTAATTTTCTCTGAAAGTATGCCTAGGGTTTTCTTTTGTTGTAGTTGTGTAAGAATTGTTCTATCAGGTTGCAAATCTATGCCTTCCACAGTACTATTAAATTTTGCATCTTCTATATATTTGTTGGCAACATTTGCAGCATCCTCTGCCATCTTAACATAAACAAACACTTCAGATTGATTTGTGATTGAAGATGCTAATTTATCATTAGCTGATGTAACCCTGGACTTGTTTGCTTGTAGCTGTTTGAGACTATCTTCAATCCTGTCTTCAAGACTTTTAACTTTATCTTCTATCTCATCTAAAGAACATTTCTCCAGCTTGTCAAGATGATCATTGATTTCTTGTCGGAATTTTCTAATATCAGCCAGTAGTTCTGCTTTCCTCTTCAACAGTCTTTGTTTATCCTGTTTAAATCTATCAGCTTGTTTGGCAAGGGTCTTGGCTATTTCCTTGAGTTTTGTTTGAATTTGTCTGGATTCAACTTGGTTTGTATTTTTTTGGATAAACTCTGGTATGTAGAATGTATCCTTGCAAAATCTGAAAAATAAGTTCAGACGGTTTATGTATATGAGGCTATGTGATGCCTAAGAAGCTACTATTAAATACTTTATTCTCTGTAACATACTGGTATAGAATATTATGTTAAGAGTTTTAAGGTAACCTTTTAAACATTCCATATATTAAAGTGACATTATGCAAATCCAAAAGTATATAATCATCCATCAACAATTACCTGTAACATTCAATTTATAAAGAGTATCGGACAGTCTATTAGTATTTCTGGCGGATTTATGTTTTATCTAAATATCAACTGTTGGTCAATCAGCATTATAACAATCTATCATGTGAAATATATAGTTAATTCAGCTCAACTTGACAATAAATAGAATGAGCATAATGTTGTCTTTTTAATTGAAAAAAATAATCTATTTTCATATATTAACTAAATTTTACCTGTGATCAACTGCCATACATGTAGAACAGCCAACATTATCATGGTTCTGACAGTACATATCAATGTGTTTATGACTGTGTCTGTCACATCTCTCTGTTGGTGCCCTCGGCAGACCTTTGCTGGTTCCTGACTTGACCTGTGATTTATCCAGCACCTTGTGACTAGCACACAGAGGCACTTGACCATGTACTTGAACACAAGTTATACAGAAATAATCCTTACAGTCTACACAGAATTTTTCACCTTCAGTGTTTTTCCCTTTATTTTTACACATTGAACATAATACATCAAATATTTCATCGGAAAGAATATCCGTATCTATTTGTTTACCAGTAGCCATTTTGTAGAAATTTTATTCAAATGCGTTATCTAAACTGATCTATTCCCCCAATTTCGTTTCACAATCATTTTAACATGATAATTTACACATTTACACTTATTCCCATTTCATAAGTTTTCAAATTTCTCTTTTACTTCCGTACTGATATCTAACTTATTCCTTTTTACTTTCTATGTATAATTATCATCTCCAATTATAGCTATCAATTATTTGTAAAGGTTCACCCCACAAAGGTTGCCAATGACAAAATATATTGATCTGTTAAAACGTCCACATCTAAATTCATATACAATGTTAGGAGTTTACATAGGCTTGGTTTAACATAGGTTTAACATTATGATATTTACAAAGCAATAAACACCCGGAAGTAAATAATCTAAACAAATATTCATGTTTGGTTTGTGATGAAAGTACAATTGATCGACATAATTAAATTAAAATTGTTTATCTGTGTTTTCATTCAGATAATGAAGACTAGCTCACAAAATATGCCAATTTTGTAAACTCAAAGATTTTAAAAAGATGACACAGGAGGATACTAAAACTGATATTATTGACAGAATGACAGAATTAAATTTTTTAAAGCAAGCAGTGTATTATTATCAAACAGAAAGTCGGTGACAACAATGAAAAGGAACGCTTTAAAGCAACATGCTTGCAGATTTATGCACATTTTCATGAAAATTTTGAAAATGTTTTTAATAGTAAAATATTGTGAGGTGAACAAAGAAAGTAATTTGTTCATTGTTATTGGCACTTACAATCAACATAAATTACCAAAAAGGGGTCCAAATATGCAAAAACAGCCCTTACTGCGTTAGTAACGCAGTAGAATTATCGTGATGCATATACTGCTTAATCTGTCAATAAAATCGCACGTAACATGTAAATCATTACTTGAATCTTCAATCGTTTTATTTTTCGTAAAATCTTATTACACTTTTCTCAAGTTAGCTTTTCTTTAAATATTTTTGTTCATCTGGAGGCATGCATCTTTATGCAAGAAGCAAGGAGAAAAGTTCTGTGTTAAGAAGAAGAACAAAAAAGAATGCAAGTTCATAACAATCATCATGTGATAAGACGTCACTATCGGACAGTGGAAAATCAGATGGTGAAGTAGTAGAGAAGACAAAAGGGGAGCAGGGAAAGAAAAGAAGCAAACTGACAACAAGACGAGAAACCGAGACTGTGAAAATTTTGCCAAAAAACACGTGCCGGAGTCAATTCCTGGTAGACCCAAAACAGTGATAACAATGATGAAGAAGATTCGTTTACAGACAAAATGTGAAAGGGAGCAAAAAAAATCACAAAAAGGTCAGAAATGTCAGGGAGTGAATTTCAAGTCAGGTCTGAAAACTACATCATGGGCTTTGTGAACTGGGGGAAATATTAATTCACCAAATAAGTACAAAGCTTCTACTTACTACTCCATCGCTCGTCATCCCAGCACGAGTGACTATTTACAGCTAGGTTTCTTCTCCTCGGGAAAACTTTTTCAAAAATCTACATTAAAAAAATCTCATCTTATTTTCCCCTAAATTAAAGGGAACAGCCCCTTCCCCTCCCTAATATAAGTATGTCGGTGCAGTGTTGTTTATAAAAAGTATTCCAACTTTTGTTGTTGTTTATTTGTTTCCATATTGATTGTTGTTTTTTTTGTTGTTTTTCCTAGTGTGTGTTTCAGTATTTTAATGTTTGGTCATTTTTCTGTTTAATTATGTTGTAATTTGACAATAATTTAGTGGACAGAAAGCACAAGTAAAACATTAATATATGAAGTTACTTGTATATGTATAATTGAATATTTTTTTATTTTACAGCTCAAAAAGCAGATATCTTTTTTTCAAAGCCTTTGGGGAAGCCAGATGTTCAGTCATACATAAACTCATTGTACTTTTATCATACTTCAGACGCTGATGCCGCAAAGGTTAGTAACAAGTGTATCAATTTTTCACAATAACAGGTGATCGAACTTTTAGACTTCCAGAACTGAATACATTGTCAATATTCTTGGCAGCTCATGATATAACCCTAAATGATTAATATTAACTAATGAAGCAGTAACATGTTTTACTAACACATTTAGTACCAACAGTGGGGCGCCCGTGGCCGAGTGGTTCAGGTCTTGAAATCAAACCACTTTTTAAACAATAGTCTCCATCATATTTTCAGTTTCAAATGCCTCACTCATCAACGCAACATCACAGACGGCAACTATCATTCTCTGTATTAAAAACTCCACAATCTACATCGCTGAAGTCTCAAGTATTTGGGGTTTTTTGGAAAACCCAAAAATTTAATCAGAAAATCAAGTTGGGGAAAGCCCAAAAAACCTTTAAAAGCCCCAATTTTTTGAAGGGGAACTTTCAAAAAACCTGATTCTTTGGGATTTTAAAAATTTTTGAAAGATACAAAATTTTTTATTTTTTTTCTAAATCAAAAATTTGCTTTTATTGATTCTTAAAAATGCTATGAGTATATATTTCAGACAAAGGCGGACTTTTTTCCTGTTAATTTTATGGCCTTTTTCCATCTAATGAAAGGACCTTATACGGATCTTTCTCTACAAATACAAATATCATGCATTATAGATTTTCCGCCTAATGAAAAGCCCTTGTGTGGATTTTATTCCTGCTTTGCAGTATGCTAGCCAGAATCCGCCTTAGAAAATTTGCATATTTCAAGCTCTAGTCTCCCTAAGGTCAGAAATACGCTTTTATGTACATCAAGGTACAAACCTCTTATTCATTGGAGGCTTTTTTCTATGGGCTCTGTTGAAACAAACATGCATTCAGGTAAAGTTGTTAATAAACAAAGTTTCAATATATTGTTGGATCATTTATTTATACAAATATACAAGTTCATATAGATAGCACATGGACATACAAAATGCATTTAAATCTGTCACTTTCAGGCAAAATGTTGAAGGTACAGAATAATTTATTATGGTATATTGTGTGTGAAAAATATGCTCTGAACATTTCATAACGATTCAAATAATTAAATAATTCAGGAAACAAATCATTGAGAAAAATATACAAATAAACAAATGTTACGCAAACTCAAAAAACAAGTGATTAGCAAACTGTCAAGAATAAATAATGCTCTGAATTGTAGCTGACTTTAGAAGTGAGGGCTGCAAGGGGTTATCATTACAGTTACCTTCATACAGCAATTATACAGTTTTTATCTTTAAAATTCCTGATACTCAACAATGTAACATTTAAGAAATACAAAGTTTCCGATAGGTTAAAATTCCAAAAATCCTCATTCCAGTTGAAAACACTACCAGGCCATTCCGGGACAGCTATGGCGCCACTCCATTCCCTTTCCTAATCTTTTTCATGCCTATTGATAGATCAACACTTAATGGACAGCCTTTAACTTTCTGTATCTGTATTTTAAAATGTAATGTTAGAGGAGGAAACTAGAATTACCAGTTGGAACCAATGTTCCTGCATTAGTTTACCAGTGCTAACCACACAATTGCATGACACAAACTTTACTTGAAAACTCACTGGCAGCTGAATTACGAATAATTTCAAGGCAAAATGTTTACGACCAATAATATGAGATTAAAATTTCAAATTTCTACTGAAATGAACTGACCAAGACTTATAGTGATTTTTTTTATATCCAAAGGGGATCAAACCCAGATTTCTAGACAGAACGCTTATCTATAGAGAATATTGAATAAGCCTACGTTAAATTATGAATTTATTGAACAAGGTGAACTAGGCCTATCACTGGAGATGATTAATACCCCCACCAGCAACTTTGAGTTTTGATGATTTAATAGTACATGAAGTTTCAACTGTGTACAAATAATTATCTTAATTAATTGCAATCCAAACCATGTTCATATTAGCTTGCTATACACCAAGTTTGATTACAATATCTCATTCAAAACTCTAGTTATCGTCTGGAAACCATTTTTTTATTTGTAGTAACGGTGACCTTGACCCTAGGGGGTCCAAATGCAATAACAGCTGGGTCTTCATATAAGCTTGCTTTACACCAAGTTTGATAACAATATCTTATTCCTATCTCTAGTTATTGTCCGGGAACATTTTTTTCTATTTTCAGTTACGTTGACCTTGACCCCAGGTGGTCCAAATACACTACAAACCAAGGTGATGCTATGTGTAAACAGATATGAATTGTATAATTTCCCTAAAAATATTTGATTTTGGGAGATGGGGAAAAGACGTAAGTTAATTGATTCAGGTAAGATAGCATATTTGCAAAATAGTTGGTGCAGTTAACATTATCTATTAACCAGTATTATTTTTACCTATTTGTCAGTTATATTGTATACAATGTTATAACATATATCATAATTATATTCCTGAATCTGTGGGACAGCATCCAGGGGGTGATAAATTCATAGTGAAGAAATGGAAAAGTGGTAATCAGTGTGATTAAATATTTAAATATTTGATTCTAAAATTGGGCATTGTGTTATCAGTGTTTAGATTTTAAAGGTAGGGTTAACAATTTAAAAAAAAATCTGATAGAGACATATTTCAGGGCTTTGCTTTATGACACACTTGTATTGTTGCTTGCATACAAAGGGGTATGCCAATGGTACAGCAATATTTAATAACAATACTTTAAGGGCTAACAGTGACACAATCATTTATGTGCTTCATTATTTCAATCTTTAACCTCCTGAATAAGTATAATGTGTTGTCTTGCTTTTAATTTCAAAATTTAAGGGGTTTTATTTTTGAAATACAAAAATTAAGCCACCAACAGTTACTGTATAGAGCCTGGTCAGACTACACTTGAATAGAATCTGGTTGGACTGCATAGATGTTGGCATGGCACTATATATTCTGGTGGAAAAGGTTTATCACATGAGGTTACGGAAAGTTAAGGATTTATATGCCTAGGATAGTTAATATGTATACATTGAGCTCTGATTTTACTGATTTGAGTGTTCGAAAAATATATAGGGAGAACTGTTGTACTCACCTAGGTGTGGACGTCACATTTTGGTTAAGTTTTGGCGTGCAAGTTGGTATTGCAAAATCTCCTGAATGGAATGGATTGAAACATTTATTTGACAGCATGATAAGAGGTCAAAGGCCAATAACTCTAATATGGATTTTGACAGAATAATGGACACTTTTGAACTTCTTGAAATTCTACATTATGTAGTGTTTTTAATATCATGCAATGAGAGTAGTCAAGCACACTGATCGACTATTTTCCATTCTTGATTTTTAGAATTTATTTTTTAAAGAAAGTTGAAATCCAATAGTAAAAATCTTTAGCTT